TTACTGGCAGGTGACATACTCTGTAATGTGTAAGGCCTAGAAACTAGTACAAAAAAATAGGTAACCATACTGCCTAGATGCTATACTAGTTAGTTATATATGAGAAGTAAGTTGGAAATTTCAATATAATAGGGCAGATAATTAGAGGGTTTAAATAGATAATCTTCTAGTAGGCTATAGGTACAGCATCTAGTATAGAACCTTAGGGCAAACTACTTAAATAGGCAACCAAAAGTTGCACATATGACTAGCTGTACTCTTATTTCTATAAAAATAATTGTAATAGCTAACCTGATATAAAGTCAATAAAGTATCACTACAAGTATAGCCTTTAACAAAAAAAAAAGTTAAGAAGAAGTAATGAAGACAATTTTGGAGCTTGTCATAGAAGAGAGAAAACTCTTTAATTATGGACTTTAAGTAGTCAAACAAGTAGCTTACTTCTGTTTAAAGTAATGTGACAGATTGCACTTAGGCACCATTAAAGTGGCTAGGTGATGCTAGACTTAGATATTAGAGATATGTATATAGTTACAAATGTAATTTCAAAGACTCAATAAAGTACTAGCATGACTGCTTATATATATAAAAAAAAAAAAACTTTAATATAAGATATTAATAATTAATCATAATTTGCAATATTTTAATATAAAATATTAATAATTGTATTTTAACTAATAATTTATTGAAGGTGTGGCGACTTAGTAAAGTGAATAAGTTGTCAACCCTCCAAGTGGTAGGTTATAAGTTTAAAACCTACAGACAGCAAAAATTTAGATAATCACCTATGTAATATTCGTATTATAGCAACTTTTCCTAATGATTAAGTTAAGATACCTGTAATTATAGTCATACTAGAATAACTGACAGGTCATGAAGCATCTGTGTAACTAGTTACACAGAGGAATACAAATTAGCATTGGGCAGTGCAAACTCAAAATAAGTCCTTGTAACTGTATAAATCCATAGAAATTAGAGAACAAGAAGCCCACTTAGGAAGACCTGAGTAGAGAGGTAATATGGATCTTTGACAGTACTACTATAAAGGCTAGACCTAGAAAATAGATACCAATGTGAAGTATCTGAATAGGCAAAAACCTCTGAATAGAGAGTACTACCAACCAGACTACCAGAAGTCTAACCGGAAGGACCAGAAGAAAAAAATATCAGGCTGATCTGATATACCAATGGACTGGTTGTAGTTCTATCAGGCTATTTAAATTGGGAGTTTGAAGAAAAAGCAGGAGTACACTAAAAGTACTAGGGATATACTATGAAGTAAGTGCTAGAGTCTGAGTAAACTTTGCAAGAGCAAGCCCTGTTAATGTTTTGTAGAGTGGGTAGATAGTTAACAGGGAGGCTTTTAGAGCTTTATAGTTAGATGTCATGCTTTAAAAATAATTGTGTAATAGCTTGACAGACATACAGAAGGAAGGTTAAATATTAAATTAGATGCATTTAGATGTACAGGAACTGGGACACTAATTGTCTAAGTCAGTATAAAAATTATAGTGTTTAATTAGATAGTTTCTAGTAGATTATAGATATGGCAGCTAGTGTAGAATCCTTGAGCAGACTACTTAAATAGGTAACTAAAAGTTACATGAGTGGCTAGTTTATGTCATTCTGTACAAGTAATATATAATATATTCACTAAAAGCATAAATAAAGGCATTAGCCATCCTTAACATCAGCCTTAAAATAAAAAAAATAAAATAAAATAAAAAACTAATAATTTATTAATCAAATCAATTCTATCATTAAAAATTACATATAGGTTATATATTAATAATAAAAAAACAGAATTATTAAATTTTTAAAATATTGCTTTTAAAATAAACTACATAAAACTATTAATAATACATTATCTGTAGTAAAGCTAAAGATTTTTGGTTATATTGTATTCTTTTAAAATGTTTATAATTTATTATTAATATTAATTTCTATATAACACTGTTTTATTTAATAATATCAAGAAAAAATTTTTTAATTTTTAGTTTAAATTAATATAATATATTGTAAAACTTAGAAATAATATAATATTTAATACTGTTTACATGTTTGAAGTAATAACTACTTTTTAAAGATTTTTATTTAATATTGTTCTAACTTTTAGAAAGATCTTAATCAACCTCTTTGTATTAAGTAATACTTATTTTTGAAAAACAATTTAGTAAATAAAATTTTTTTAAAATTATAATTAAAAATCACAAATGGTTTGGATATGATTATAATTTAATAATGTAAAAATGAATTTGAAAAATAAAAGATCATGTTAAAAAAATTATAATTTGTATTTAAATAATAAAATAAATATAATTAATTATATATAAATACAATTTATTAAGTTGAATTTTTATTTATTAGTAAATTGAATACAGATTACAAGATTTTTATACATTATATATATATAAATTTTATTTTTAAAAAACTTATTTCCACTATTTTATTTTATATTAGTATCCAAATTTATTTCTATTTCATAATTTATCATGTTTAAAATAACTATACAGTATACATATAATAAAATACTACTTTATGTTATATCTAATTTAAAATAACTTTTGTACTATTAATAGTAAAAATAAACCTAAAATATAAACAAATAATTATATACAGAATGTATGATAAAAAACAAATAATAAATATTACACAGTCAAGAAATAAATAATATATAAATAAATAATATTAATGCAAATAATGAATAAATATTTAAATGACTTATATAATTTTAAAGTTCAAATCTATAAAAAAAAATATATACTAAAAAATCAAAAGAAAAAAATAATATAAATTAAAATTAGAAACTGCTACTTATTATAATAACAAGTTTAATTTCCTATTTGACTTTGACTTCTATTTTACAATTCTACTTTTAAAAAATTTTTAAAATCAACAAGAAATAATTAGTAATGTAAAAAAGAAAAAATACTGTTTAATATATAGTGATTTACTGTACTTATAAACTATAAGTGATTTAGATATAAATATATTAGTTTTGTATTGAAATAAAAGTAGAAAAAATTTACTGTAAACTGTTATATACAAGACCTGAGTCTATTTGAATAAGCTTTATTCTATGTTGTAAACCTAAGTATAATACTGTGCATAGGGATCTTATATCTGAAGGTCTTGTATATAGCAGTTTACAGTAGTTTTTGTAACATTTTTAGATTTTTTAAATGACATTAATATCACACTTCAGAAATAAACCAAAAAACTAACACTTTTTAATACTAAACCAGAATTCAAACTAATAGTATAAGAAAAAAATTTTTTTTAAAAAAAGAAATAGTATTTATATACTAGTCCTAGTTTTACTCAAACCAGATCATTGTATTAATTTTATTATCACAACAAAAAAAACTTGGTAAAAAAAACTAATACTTATTTATATAGACCTTGCTCTTGATTTCATCTGACTTATAGATATTTACTTAGTGTTAATTTATGATTATACCAGGAACAAAGTGCAATGAAGTGCATAGTTTTATAGTAAGTAAAGTGTTTTTGTGCAAATACATGCATCTTATTAGTTAGCATATATATATATATATGCATTGTAAAATGCTTATCCTATTTTGTTTTTAATTATACTCATGATTTTTGTCTTTGTATTGGGCTTATTATTACTGGTTTAAATCTTCCTATACTGATTTATTGCTATTGCTATATATATCAATATGGTTTTGTGTTCTCATTGTAAAGTGTTCAGTCTTATGCAATTTCAGGAATTTTTATTTTTTAATAAAAAATTTTTTGAAAGTGTATAAGTCTGGACACTTAATTTGGTTGTGTCTCAAATTTGTCTAATTTATTATGATATCAGGTTATATCTTGATTTCATTCATTTTTGAATTATATAAATATGTGTATATATGTATTTGTATTTTACTTATTATAGATTGTATGAAATCTGAAAAACATATTATATACTATTTGTGTTAAACTAAATTAAACTGGATCTAATATTGATTATTAACTAAAATATTAAAATATATCCAAACAGCATATTGTAATTAATATTGAGTACAGGTTATAGTACCAGTACTATAGTATTAATAGCAAACTGTAAATTAGTTATGTTACAATAATTGATCTAAAAAGAATATTTATTGATTATATAGAATTGTTATTTAATTTATATTAAAACACATTAAGGTTCATTAAGAAATTATAGGAGAAAATCTTATGATATTAGTATCTAAGCCTAGAAGACAATAAATTATTATATAACCTTTTTGGTTCATTTTCAAAAATATCTTATTTCTAAAATTAAATTTAATGATATTTCATAAGATTTACTATTGATAAAAATAAAGAAATAGAAATTAATAATTTGTCTTTGTTTTTTTTTTTTTTTATATATACATATATATATATATAACTTTTGACAAGTTTACAAGATAGTTCATTCTTTTTGTATCATAATTCACTTGCATTTAATTATTGAAAAATGTCTTCTCACATTACTTTTATTGTAGTTATTATCTTTGTGAAAGTAGTTGACTATGTTCATATAGTCTTGCAAAATACAAGCTTTTTAATGAAATATCACAAATGATTTATTAAAAGTATTTTTTTTTTGTAAATGATCAACCTTAGATAATCACTGCTGGTAATATTGTATTTTTTTCCGAAAATTATGTAGTTAAAAATTCTGATTATTGTCTACTATCATATATGCAAGAGTTCTAGATACTGGAAATCCTAATCATAAATTTGATACTACTAGTGTTTTTTTATATATTCTTTATAGTATGTTTCCCATATTTGTGACTCGAATTCTAAAGGATGTTGGTAATTTTATCTATTTTGGTATAAAGTGCATTAAGTATAATGCTATTACTGGAACACCTAATGTTAAAATGCAAATAACTGTTTTTTACTCCTCTTAATCTGTGAGATTTCAAAAATATTTGAGTTCTTCAAAATCAAATATTAAATTTGGTAATATCTATTTTATTTCTGAGCTTATCAAATTTTCAACATCTGGCAAAATGATGTTAGAAGCAACTGATATAGACTATTTAAAGACTTTAAACATGAATTATAACATATCTGAAAGTTCTTCTTCTATAGGACCAAGTAGTTAAACAATTATTGACATTATTGCTAATAATGTTGAATCTATTACTGCTCAAAAACAGGAAGAACATATGGATTCTTTAGTTAAATATGATACTACTGCCACCTGTAAGTCATCTGAAAACTTGTCAGAGATTATTAACACTGATGCAAAAAGTAATTTATTTAATGAAAAAAAAAATTTGGTCAACCAAATTATGTTGATTTGAATACTAAAGAAGACAAAAAAAATAATACTATTTGAACATGAAAATAAAGTTACTGACTTAAATAAAGAAGCAAATAGCTAAGAAAAAAATAAAAAATCTAAAGATCATTAGTTTAAAAAAAGAAAAAGAAGTATCAGAACAACTTTAAAAAAAAAGAATATTGAAAAATTATAAATAATTAACATGCAAAAATAAAATTTTAATAGTTTACTATATATTTTACTTATTATTTATATAAAGTTTATAAGTTTAAATCAAATTATAATATTAAATATTGTGTAATTTAAATATTTTTCATATAAAAAATATTCATTGCAACATATTAAATTTGGAATAACTTATAGTAAAATTGTTTATTACATATTTATATAATATTTTTTCTTCTATATTTAATAATCCAAAAAATAATACTCAATTCCTGCAATAGTATGAATGCTAAATATGCTTGTTGTTTAAAAATTCTTTTTATGATATAAAATTCTTGATTGTGTATTATGACTAATCTATTAAAACTTTTAAAATTATAAACAATATCCTAGACTAGTATGCTGAAAGATTAATCTTATTCTGATGAATAGTATATTAATACAGTATAATATTCAAACTATTTTTATTATTTATGTTATCTTACAAATAGAAGAGATCAATAGAATAGTAATAAAAAATTTTATAGATTAAAAAAATATAATAAATAAAACTAAAAATAAATAAATTAGTATTTGATAAATTTATATATAGTATAAAAAGTATATAAAATAGAAAAATTAAAGAATAAAGCAACTCATCTTAAGTTTCAAACTTCAAAATACTGATAGCAAAAGTTATTTCAGATTCCTAGCTCATATAAAACTATAAAATAACATCATTTATTAGGGTGTTAGATATCATATCTTTGATGAATATACTGCATTACTATTTGATTAACTTATTAAGTATAATTTTGTTGATCAGTACTGTATTAAAAAATTTTAATGAATTTGTTATAAAAGATCATTATAGACCTGCAGGTTGATAGCAAAGTGGTTATGCTCCTAGGTCACCAATTGCAAGGTTGCCAGTTCAAGTCCAACAGGTGACAAAAACTGAGTTAGGAATATGATTGTTAATTAACTACAGCTAACCATGAACTATAAAAATAGAAAGATCTTTGGTACCCAGATCCTTAAATGATGATGAACCAGACATAAGAAGGCCATGATGATTAGGAGGCTGAGAATAATAATAGAACAAAGGAATCCCTGATTAGGAATAATTACAGTGAAATTCCAGGGTAATATGAACACAAAAATTAGTATATAGATAGTACTGTAAAAATGTACACAAATAATGTAAAATGTAGATAGAGTCCTGATAGAAGGTCCTATGAACTTGAAATATGAACTAATAAAACAGCTGCAAGCTGCAGCCCACTAGCGACCAGGCAGTGAGAAATTAAAAAAAAAAAAGATCAGTATATTTTTAAAACATTCTAATTTCTATTCTAATAAAGTAAATTTAATTATATAACTTGTAAATAATATATTAAGATTATGCTTTTAAAACCATGTTTAAACATTTTCTAATTTATTTTATTAATTTAACAAAAATTATAGATTACTAAGATTTTAATAGTAAACTATTCATTATTTATATAGAGTACTACTAAAATTTATATATTAATATTAAATATGGCAACATAGTTTTTACACTATATTCTCAATATATCATTTTCAAGTTATAAGATTAAATTTGCTACATTAGAACAGAAGTTAGAATGTTTAAAAATACACTAATCTTTTATAATAAATTACTATTTTGAAATTTTTTAATACAAATTATGTAAAAATCTTACTTGGTGAGTCAATCATATATATAGTATTATAACTATGTTTGTCAGATATATGATATCTAAAACTCTAATTGTTTATATTATCTTTTGCTCTGTGATTCATCTAACCTGATATTGCTTGTTGGCAAAGGAAAATGTAGATCAAATTAGTAATTAAATTCATTATATAATAAAATAAATAATGATTAAACTTGCAATTATCTAAAATACTTATATAAGTATATACTATTTGTAATTTGATTTAAGTAGATATCATGTAATAATAATTGAAAATTTTAATGAAAAAAATAGAAATTAAAGCTTTAGTGAGCTCTATAATAGAAAAATAAGAATATATTAGTAGTATTAATAAATAAGAGAAATTAGAAAAGATAATCAGAGAATTCAAAAATGCTTAATTACTAATTTTTGTAACTATTGCAGTGATAATCAAAGCACACTTTCTTGAACCAAATCATATCATGCCTATCAATGCATACCAATTAGGTGTATAGTATATTTTATTTTAGTTTTTGATGTTAGTAAATATTTTTTTAAAATAGTAGTATAACTTTTCAGCTTATTATTACTGTAGTATATCTATTTCTTATTTGTAGTTTAATCTTTGTTATTTTTTGACAACTATTGAAATAAGTAAGTTACAAGTTTTCTGAAATTACTCTACATATCTATTTCTTGTATGCATCTATATATTTTTAACTAATTCTTTGCATTTCTAGTATGATCTACTAAAATAAACTTGTAATTTTATATATCAACTAGAAATTCATATTAGGAAATATAAATTAAAAAGTCTATTCTTAATGAATATAGTGTTTTAGAATACTTTCAAGAACAAGCCAAATAGGATACTTATTTTACTTAATATAGATTCTGTTGTTAAAATTTTTTGTAATTTTTTTAATAAAATTTATAACATGAAATTACTCAATACTAAATATAAAAGGGTCATATCAACAATTAATAATTTTTTTTTAACTTATATATTATAACTTATTAATAGAATTCCAATCAAAGCTCAGTTATTTACACTTATTCAACTTTTTCATTTACATCTAATTATCAATTTTAAATATATAATGTTATTATAAAAACTAAAGGTAAAGCCAAAAAGAGAAAGCCTTATAAATGATTAGCTACTTAATATAAAGAACCTTAATTTCAAAAATTACAAAAGTAAATAGAGTTACTAATCATAAGAAAAAGAAAATTCAAACTCTATTTACAAAAAATCAGAAAGCAGAAAACCTAGTTATCTTTTTGCATATTATAGAGATTAATGAAGATTTTGAAAAAATATAACAACAATATATTACATAACCTCAATCTGTTAAAAAAGAAATAGCTAAAGAGGCATTAGCTGAATTTCAAGATAAGGCTAACCTAAACAAACTGTGAGAATTGCTATATGCAATTTGTTCAGAGCTTTATAATTACAAAAACTACAAAGAAATTTCTTTACAAAAAATTGAACTGTCTCTAATTAAAACACCAATAAAACTTACTGCTTTATTATTTGAAATTAATTACAATGATGAATATTCTTATATTAATGCTAGCAAACTAAAAGTTCTTCCTAGACATTATAGATTTGTTTATTTACCCAAATGCCAAAACAATTCAGATAATCCTTTTAACTTATGAATTTGCTATTCTTGTTACAATTATTTATATAAACATAAAACTTCCTTATTATCATTGGCTAATAATATGTGAATTGGACTTACACCTCCATGTTTTCATAATTTAACTATCTTAAAACAACTACTTATATCACTTAGTTATCTATATATAAATCTTATTCAGTTAACAAAGAAAAAATATACTTATTACAAACTTAAAAGACTTGTTGTTACAATCTAAGTTTATTAATAAATGTTCTTCCTTTACCAATATATAAACTTTGAGAATATATTAAAGTAGTGTTTATTGAAAAAGAAACTTCTGATCACAATTAACTAAGGAAGGTACTTTAAGTTTGAAAAAGTAAAGTAACAACAGCACTTCAATAGCTTTTTATACATAATAAACCATTCAAAGATAATTTTAAACTAGATAAAAATACTTTAAATTGTCTGCCTAAAGGAGAAATATCTGATGCTTTATCATTAATAACTACAGTTATAAATATTGATTCTTGAGAAACAAATCACTATATAGGTTATACATGTGAACCATCATCAGATTATCATAAATTTAATGAAAATGAAGACAAATATAAAGAAATTCTTAGTAAACATAATATAAACAATTTTATTAATAATAATTTAATCAATACTGCAAGTAAACTTAGACCTTTTGAAATAATAAATATTGATAATATGCCAATTACTAAAAAAGAGCTTACTTTGCTCTCTTTTCAAAAACTTATTAGCAAATCAAATTCTAATTCACTTGAGCAGCTATTTTTAAATGAAGCTGTAAATAAAATAGAAACAGAATCTATATATTCTCATATACTAAACATACTTTATAGCAATAAACTCCTAAATGAATATGAAGATACTGCCTTATTTTCTGCTAGATTTCTGGTTCTTTATCTATATAGTGTCAGTAGTTATGAAAGTTGCTTAATTTATATTACATTAAATAAATATACTAATCATCTTATACATCACCAAGATCCAAAATTTAGACAAAACAAATCATTCTTCTTTGTAATCTTCAATGTTTTGCAATGACAAGAAGTATCAACAGAATTTTACAATCTAATAAGAAATAACAATTTTTTTTGATCAGCTAAATTGATATTATTACTTAAACTTGAAAATATTGATTTAGCTATTAAACAAAAACAGAATAAACAGCCTATTAGTAACTTTGCAGTTATAAAGTTACTCAAAAATGTGAACTCAGCTGATTCAAAATTAATATTATTCTATCAATCACATGCTCATATATGCAATAAGATTTGTTCTATTATTATGAAAGATGGTAGACTTTTTCTATTTCTGACAATAAATCCTGCTGATCTCCATAGCCTGATTGTCATGATGTATGTAGGAAATAAAATTGATCTTAAGAAATTGTTTCTGAAATTTTCCAAAAGCTTCAGAAAGGTCTCAGCTTACACACTTTGATTCTATAGCTGTCACTAAATATTTTGATGTTATTATTCAAACAATTTATAAACATTTTATTCAGATTAGTAAAAAATTATTACAGTGTTATTGAATACCAAAACCATAGCACCCCTTATTGTTATATGTTTGTTTGACTTAATGGTGCTCTTAACCCAATCTTATTGCATAACAAACTCAAAAATAACAATGCATTTTGCTAATGTCTCTTAAATTATGTTAGTAATGTTGTTTATAAGAATATTAGTTACCTTTAAAAAGAAGGTAATTTAATAACTAATAATATAATTAAAGCAGAATGTATGGTTCCTAAAAAGATTCTTAAAAAATGAATGCATCTATCTTTTCTCCCTATACCTGATCCTAGATTAATGGACTTCAAAAAAAAATTCTGTTTAGACTTACTTGCTATTTGCAAATGTACTCTTTTTTATTATTGTACTAATATTTATAAAAAATATAATTATAGTTTACAAAAAATTGTCAATTTGACTTTCTAAAAGAACTTGTGACTCTACCTGGTTAATTTTTTCTGAACAAGTCATCATTGCTGTTTAATGTACAAATGCTTTTTTAATAACTGTAATTCTTATATAATGGCCACATATAAAAAAATAATGATATCAAATTTATATCCACTTGGAAACTTGTTTTGGTCTATATTTATTATATTACAGATTATATTACTAAGTCAGATATTAGCACATATAGTTCTTCCTTAATATGTGCCTCTATCTTAGAGGCTTTTTAATCTAAAATTCAAATAAGATTCCAAAAAACATTATAGATAAATTATGAAAACTTGTAACAAAATGTCTTAACTAAATGTCTAAACAAATAGAACTTACAAGTCTGCAAGTTTGTAGGCATTAGTGATCATTATACTTCAAATAAATTTATATCAATTCATCTTTAAACTTCTGAAATTTATCTTATAAAAAAATAAACAAATATTTGCCAAAGTTTTGAAAACATGTATAAAACAGATTCTGAATCAGATAATGAATTAAACTAGAGTAAAGAAGATGACCAAGACTCAATATTTGAGTCATTCTTGATATCATCCTATAATGGCAAATTAACTGCTATTAACCTTCAAGTTGATTATCAATTTCAAGGCAAATTACTACATAATATTTGCCTCTACAACTATGCTTTTACTATTTGGAAAACTCTAATAAACTCTCATGAACTTTATATGCTATCAAACCAAAGCTTAAAAGAAAACAAATCATATATTGATTATTTTCTTTTTCTTAGAGATGAAGTCAATTATGATTACCTTTATGAATCCTATAATGTTCATCTTCAATATAAAACACATATTCAAATACATAGAAAATGTAGATTTGAAAGAATAGTTGTATTATATAATAAAGGAATACCTAAAAAGAATAATATAAAAAAGATTAAATGCTATGGACTATGCTTCTTATGCTATTTAAACCATAGAAAACTGTTCAAACTTTCAAGAAAATTATGATTCTTGGACTGAAATATGTAAAATATTTTTAGATAACTCATATTTATCACTTTGTCTAAAATCTGTTATTGATAATATAGAGTTACTACATAGTTGTTCTAAAGTAATAGTTCTCAATAGAGAACTATATCAAAATGTAACAAAGAATCTGATACTTATAAAAGCTGTTGTATAAACTGTTCTGTTTTCAGATATGATGCTAATAATGAGTTAGCTCTTTCAGATGATGATAATAATAATTTACTAACTAAAAATACCTTTAATAAAAAGATATCTAAATTTGATCCTGAAGTGATTATAAGATCTAGTCTTAAAGAGATTAAAATAGTTAATGCAACTATGAGCTTTTATAAATTCATAATAGATTTTATCAAAAAAATATAATATCTTCAAATAAAATAAGTTTTAATGATAAATCAGAAACTATATATCCAAGTCAAGCCATTGATAATAATTTTCTAAAAATTTGGCAAACAACAATCACCTTCTGAAAATCAATTTTACAAAATAATAGTGATGATAATTTTATTCTTAAAGATAATATATTACTAAATACACATATGAATCTTTCACATGATATGCTTTCAAATGTTATTCTTTTAAAAGAAAATACTGATTACTTGGAATAGTTTGCACATGGATTAAATCATAAACAAAGAAAAACTTATTTTCTTTTTTGTGATAATCATCAAAAAAATAATCAAATAACAGAAAATAAGCCAATTTAATTTCTGCTTTACCTTACAGGTGTGAGTGAAAGTAGTAAATCCAGAGTAATTTAGATGATCTTTTCTTACTTTGAATATATCTTATAGCATAATACTCTTAGTGTTCTAGCTCTTACTAAAATTGCAATAGTAAATATATATGAAAGTACTATACATCTGTATGTGATTTTGGTTTTAATAAATATAGAGACAATTGTTTAAAATTATCTGAAGAATTCTTATACCAACTTTAAAAATATTAGTCTAAAATTAAATATATTATAATAGATGAACTCTCGATGATTGGGCAAACCTCTTTATAAAATTTCATATTTTTGTAAAACAGATAAAAATGACTGATGATTCTATTCTATTTGCTGGAATAAACATCTTATTTTTTGAAGACTTCATGCAATTGCCATTTGTTTTAGACATGACAGACAAAATTACTTGCTTTTCTTCTTCGATAGATCACAAACCTTCAAAACACATAAAGAGAAAATGTACTGCTAATCCTTTATCAATTGGTTTCTGAACTGTTGTTAATACAATAGGAAGAAGACTTTAGCTAAATATTAAATTTACAGTTTAATTAAATACTTCAATGCATCAAATAAATAATATCTTTTATGCTAGTATTCTAAAAAATATACATCACAGTAATCTTACAGAAAACCAAATATCAGCATTACAATCAAGAGTTCTTGAAAATAATAGAATTAATTCTTATGAATGGAAAAATGTTACTTTTCTCATTACAAGAAATGATCTTTATATTCAACTTAATTTCAATGCTACAAAAGAACATGCTTATGATAATAATCACCATGTAATCTATTTTTGTGCACAAGATTCTTATAATAAAAGAATTCTTACTAGAAATAACCATCTCAAATTTTTATCAACACCTGATACCAAAGAAAATACACTTTGCAGTATTTTACCTTTATCTATTAATATGAATGTTGTTTTAACAACTAATATCTGTACTAATGATAATCTGCAAATGGCTCACTAGGAATTCTTAGACAATAGTGTATAATAAAAATTCTATTGATACTTTATCCTCTCAAGAAAACATCATAGTACTAAAACACCCACCCAAATATGTTATTGTCGAACTAATCAGCAAAGCACTTGAACATATGAAACACTTCCACCTAACCATGTACCTATTTATCCTATTAAGCATGCTTGCGTACACACGATTTAGAGACGTGATGGATCTAAAATTTGCAGAAGGTTCCAGTGTTTCCAACTTCTATTAGCACCTGCGTTCACATTTATAGACTTTAAAGCCCAAGAACGTACTCTCCAAAAAACAATCATTAATTTATCAGGAAATCATGCAAATAACAGTATATACGTAATTATTTCAAGATCGCAAAGGTTAAATGATTTGCTAATTTTACGACCATTTGATGAATCTATATTAAACATGCAATTATCTTCTGCACTTCGTGCAGAATTTGCACATATTGGAGAATGTGTACATAGAACAGACCAACTAAAAACTTGGCCAAATATTAATCCGTAGTCTTAATATACACTAAAGCTACCTGTCATCAGCCCACATATTTCTTAAGGTTAAATAAAGTTAATTTTTATTTTGCAACATTAATGCTTTGTGAAAATTACCACAAGATCGTCTCCAATGTGATCCAGAATGAATCTGTCAAATATGTTATGTCTGCCCTATCGCTATAAAATAGACTAACCTACAGTATTTACCTCATGGCAGAATTACTTTATACGTAAGTGATGTAAGTGATGCCAAATAATGCCTTATAATGTTTTTATGTATTTTATTTTTAATGACCCTATTTAATACTAAATATATAGTAAGGTTAAAATTAAAATGATTAAATGTATAAGAACTTACGCGTTTTTTTAGCATTACCCGTACATCTTTTGTGTTTTTTTACAAAGTAACATTTGAGTTATTCTATATAACTAATTTAACAAGTAAATATAAATAACTTTTACGAAAACAAAATTTCACCAGTGTTTTATTTAAAGCAAAGCAAAAGTAATCTTTTTATTTTCTCATTTTTATATAAATTACAACAATAACATAAACTTCTTTTGACTCTTGCTAATTGCTCATACTTTATATGCCGTAACTAATAATATGTTACGTAATTACATTATTTACCCAATCTGCTCTCACGATTTCCTTAATACAATCTGTGATCGCGACCAGACAACATACTGCGTAAAAACTTTATACAAAACTCAAAATACCAAATATTTTTAGTTATTTTTTGTTTTTTTAACACACAACCAAATATTTTCTCAATTTTAGAATACACCACACACGATACATCGAGGTTAGTGGCGCGAACAAAAAAATTAAGGCTATCCATTTGTTTATAATTTAAGAAAACAAGTTACCTATAATACTTCGCTCTAAATACCCATTTAAAAAAAAGATAACCATATACAATAAATAAGATTTTATAATTTCAACTTTAAAATTTTACTTGTTAATTAATTTTAAAATAATACTTGCTAATGATTAATCATCTACTGATAAACCGGAAAAAATAATTACATCAAAAAAAAAAAAATCGTTCTTATTTAGTCACGTTAACTAAAAAAAACAAAAAAGGGAAAGATCAATCGTACTCATCGCATTTGTCGCATATAACAAACGATTACTCGGTTGTATGTGTCGCATAAAATTTTATATTATAAATAAAGGCCATGTTGGCCCTTAGGGAAGAACAACTCCGCTTTGCTTGATAAAAACAAATAAAGTTCCCATTAAACGACTTCCCCCCTCCAGGAGGGAAGGATTAACAGTATAATTTTTTGTTGCTTCGTCCTGTGATACTTACCCTATAAACTGAACGACCCTAGCGTCGCCCGCAAAAAATGGTAGCCGGACAGATTTGCCGGGTATGTAATTCGGATTTTAGTATGGGCAACTTCGATTACTTTACGCTAACCAGAAAATATTTTTCGCGTATTTCTGTATTTACAAATTT